AAATTGCCGACTGGCGGCCATTTTGTTAAAGAATTCAGTTCTGGATCCGTATCCAAGACATGTCTGGATTGATCAAGTTCAAACTTCACACACACATGGTACATCATGTCACAAATAGATATGTGCATTTGTTTCATGATCTGCTTAACAATAGCGGAATGATGGCCATTTTAAGGCCGAAAATGCATCAAAATCACGTATTTTCACAATTCCAGAACCGGATCTCAGTCATGCATGGATGGATTTTGTTCAGATTTAGCACAATGTGTTGTACATATGCAGGTGCATTTCGGTCATGATCTGCTTTGAATGTATATGTCACTCAAATATGAACGGAACGGGGACGTGTCATTGACAATGACTTGTATTTGCTGGTAAGAGAACCGATCCCATGCCCGGACTATTAATACATGCAAAACCCACGTACGCTGCCTGGTGCGTCGGCGTTGTCGCCAGTCATCTTGATACAAAGTTCCAAAACAAGTGCAGACATTCCTACCTATGATTGGATGGTTGTGATGGCGTCGGTCTTTGGTAAAATTTGACATTCACTTTTCAAAATTAAGTCACGATCAGCATGGACGTATTTGGTGACCAGCCGATGAACAATTTGAAAATTATGATTCACACGGAAGTCCTTCGATACTGAAAATCGTCGACCCCAGCCTAGTCTGGTTTATCTTATTTCCCAACTCACAAAACTGATTTGTATCTCAGCCCTGTTTTTTTTTCTTTTTTTGACCTGAGGTCAAATCCCATCCGTCCCTGGCACTCTAAAACAAAATCGTGACATCTCTCGTTGTCATCATATTCCTCGATCTCATAACTCTCGTCAGACGATGATAAGATAGATTCCGTGTCGCTTTCCGAGCACTGCATGCGTATAGCGGCCATTGTGAAACGATGACAAGTTCCCCCCGTGACATCACAAATCACCCTTGCATGCTAATTAGGTTCTCTAGCTGAAGCCTCATTCTGAGTCGGCCAAGAAATTGGACGTGGGCGTTTCCTTATCCAGAACATTATTATTGATCGTTTATTTAATTTATGTACATTTTTCACTTGTTTTTTTTTCATAATGTTGTTTATAAATAAATTTTGCACACAAAGAAAGTCAATTGTCCCAATTCAGTTACACTTTAATGTTAAGTACTTTCACAATTATGAACATTTTGGAAATAATACTGATGAAAATGAATTTTCATGCTTTCAGTTTGGTGGCGCTATAATACTGAATAGGGGGCGCTGTTCAAGATATCAGTACAAATACAAATAATGGCATGCAATACAGGTGGCATAAGAAGTGTTAGGTAGATCTCCATTACATATAATACAATATGTACCAAGGCAGAGGTTGAATTTAATAAAATAATATCTGGTTGTGGAGTGGTACAACCACTCTGAGAAATTGGCTGTCCACATGAAATATAGTTGTCCTAAAATGCTTTTAAATTCTTTGAATTCTAAAACCAAGGTTTGCTACCTTTTATAAAATAATCATGAATAATTTTTACGTCAAGTCATGGATCTGGCTTTCTGAAAAAAAAGTTGAAAACATAGAGGTATAACCCGTATTACATTAATACTACATTGAACAATGCAATAGTGTGATTTCTGTATTGATTTTCATTGTTGAGGCCATAGCAACCAGTTGTTCTTGATTGCCTGTTTGGCAAAAAATAGTTGTCTAGAACAACAGGACAAATGTAAATTTCAACCCCAACAAAAATTGTATTCCAGGAAATAGGACAAATTTCAACCCCAGCATAGTCACCTACAACCTCTCCTGTGCCGTGCTGCGCTGCACCACGCTGGTTTCCTTCAGTAATTGTGTATTGTGTTTTTTTTTTGTAGTATCTTGGATCTGTCATTCAATCGGATCAGAAATATTGAGAACTTGGAGACATTGACGGGGCTGACACGACTATTCCTAGTACAAAACAGAATCAGGAAAATTGAGAATATTGGTCATCTTGTCAACCTTACGATGTTGGAACTTGGGTCCAACCAAATTAGGGTAAGATGTTTCCTGGCACAGGGGGGCACTGTTTGTTGATATGGAAGGAGGTGATAGAGACGGCAGTGCTTATTTATGTTGCAATATGATTCTAGACACTTTATTGTAAATATTGATAGTTATTATCATTTATGTGTTTCTTTTTTGTTGCAGAAACTTGAAAATCTTGATTCGTTGGTAAATCTAGATAGTCTGTTCATTGGCCGTAATAAAATTACCCAGTTAGAAAATTTAGGAAAGTTGAAGAAATTGACTACATTAAGTATACAGGTATGGTAAAAAACAAGACTGATTGTGTTTTTCTCCAGACACAATGATTCCATATGGATGCACAGTAGTATGTGACAGTTATCATCATTGAACGTAGACCATGACAAAAATGTTCTATAAATATTTGTAAATGTTGAATGTCACCTTTCACAAAAAAAAACCTGGAGTATATTTTTTTCTTTTCTATTCCTCCCCAAAAAATGACCCATGTGAAATGCTGTACATTTGGTGCAGAAATAACCAAAAAATATTTGAAAATTACAAAAAAATATTTAAAAAATTGCAGCAGAATTTTAGTCCGAAAAATTCATTTTATTTAAAGAGATAAAGCACTATGTCATGTCCTTGAATGTTCAGCTCTGTAAAGATGGAGACTATGTTTCAATTTATTGCAGAGTAATCGTATTATAAAACTAGAAGGCTTAGAAGAACTAGAAAACTTAGAACAACTTTACATCAGTGACAATGGAATTCAAAAATTGGAAAACCTGGATAAAAATGTAAGTTGAGACTTCATCTAATTATCGCGATCCAAACCATATTGGTTGAATGATTTATTAACAAGATGAGTGTCAATGGCGCAAAGATTCTTCCGCTTCTGAAAAATAATTATGCAAAATCACTTAATATTTAGTATTCATGTATTTTCACCAAAAACTAATCAGGATTGTGGATCACTTTGTTATGCAAAATCACTTAATA